CCGCTGAAATAACACAATATACTTCAAACGACGTGATGGGAGAGAATCTGGTAGAGAAATTCATAACGGAAGATTATCGTGAGGCTGTCGGTTTAGTTCTGACCAAGGCATGTGAAGGCACTGAAACCGCCAATTTCGAGTTTCCGTTGATGACCAAGGCCGGCCGTCGCGTAGAAATATTGCTGAATGCAACGTCTCGTTTCAATGAGATTGGTGACGTTATGGGAATGGTTGGCATTGGCCAGGACATCACAGAGCGTATTGCTCAAGAACAAGAATACACGCGCTTAATTGACACTGCAAATGCCCCAATTTTCGGTGTGGATATAAATGGACATGTGAACATTTGGAACCGGAAGGCTGCTGATATTATGCAGTATTCTAATGAAGATGTGCTGGGTAAAGATCTTGTCGCTGAGTTCATTTCCAATGAGTATAAGGTTCCTGTGCGCAGCGTGCTAGAGAAAGCGTTTGAAGGCATCGAAACGGCCAATTTTGAGTTCCCTTTGATCACGAAGGCAGGTCGCCGCGTAGAAATTTTGCTAAACGCAACTCCTCGCTACAATGAGCGCGGTGAGGTTATGGGCATGGTAGGTATCGGTCAGGATATTACGGAGCGTATCGCTCAGGAACAAGAGTACAGCCGCTTAATTGACACGGCAAATGCTCCAATTTTTGGTGTTGATATTGATGGCCGCGTTAATATTTGGAACCGTAAAGCTGCTGATATTATGCAATATACGAACGAAGATGTATTGGGCAAGGATTTGGTTGCTGAGTTTATCTCGGAAGAGTACAGGGTGTCTGTGCGTAGAGTGCTTGAAAAGGCTTTTGAAGGTGTTGAGACTGCAAATTTTGAGTTTCCATTGATAACAAAAGCTGGTCGTCGGGTAGAAATATTGCTGAATGCTACTCCGCGGTACAATGAGCATGGCGAAGTAATGGGTATGGTTGGTATCGGCCAGGACATTACGGAACGTATTGCTCAAGAGCAGGAGTATACGCGTTTGATCGATACTGCGAATGCCCCAATTTTCGGTGTCGATATAAATGGGCATGTAAACATTTGGAATCGTAAGGCTGCTAACATTATGCAGTACACGAACGAGGATGTACTGGGAAAGGATCTTGTAGCTGAATTTATCTCCAACGAGTACAAAGTGCCTGTGCGTAGTGTTCTTGAAAAGGCATTTGAGGGCGTCGAGACAGCCAATTTTGAGTTCCCACTGATCACGAAAGCCGGTCGTCGCGTAGAAATATTGCTGAATGCGACGCCTCGCTATAATGAG